TGCTCATCTGTTTTCATACCATGTTTGTTACCATTATTACTGATGTTATTATTAGATTATTTTCTTTATAGGGACTGGAATCACATCATCATCCACATATTCCTCAACTACATTAGATCTACATACTTCATTCACTTCACTTGGCACAAGTCACATGTTCACTTCAGTGGCTTCACCTTCTCCATTAACTTGTACATTATCTGGTTGTGAGAGGTGTGACACTACTAGCTCTAACTGCTGTCAGGTTTGTTCATCTGGCTATAGCTTTATCAGTGACAACTGTGTTTGTGGTATGTAAGCCTGTTATTATCAAAATACTATGATTTATATACACTGTGTTATATATAGGCATTCAAAGCACAGCAGGAATACCAGTTTGGAGTATAGTTATTATTTCTGTGTTGTTAGTAATAGTTATTGTCACTGTCTTACTATTGATTATGTGTACTATTGCATTAGTGAAAGTGAAGCACAAGAATACACAAAGTGATCAGCCTAATCAGCCATTTTACGACTACAGTAAATAATACATTAATATACTCAATGCTTTTATCATTTTATACAGTTGATGTTCAGCAAAGAACTGGTCCTACTGTACCTGATCCTGTTAAAGGACACAATTCACTTTCACTCAATCATTCAGTGGACATGCAAACAGATCACAATCCATGCTATGCAGTAGCAATGGAAGAAACTCAACTAGTCCCCAACCCCAGTTATGCCTCAACTACCATTCAGCAATGAACTCAAGGGCTCCAGTTGGGCTAATGCACCAAATATTAGTGTAAACTGATTAATTATTATTTTGAGTCACCATTTTTTTCTACTTCAGTGACTAGTTTTAAATTATGTTATGCATTAATTAATAGCAGTCTTGTTTGTACCTTTTAAAGTTACGGTATTTTGTATCAATAATAATTGGATCATGTACAGTCATTGACAACATGACATGATCCAAGGTACAGCCAATTGCTTTGGTAATGTATCACTTAAATCATCTTCCCCACCTTCCAAGATATAACCTTGAGAAATGTAAGTAATGACAACATAAGCTCTTTGCCAGTGCTGCTTGGTTGGCAGCATAGGCGGCTGCAGGCCTAGGCATTGGGGGTCATTGTCTAGGCTAGGTTAAAAGTTAGACCGGAAGCAGAAACAAAGGATTTTAAGCCTATTTAACCCTTTTACCACACCCCTTTAATTAGAAATGCCTACTAGTCGAGCTACTAGTAGTGAGGTCTCGTTGGTTTTCTCTTAGCTTGCTTTCTTTAATGAGACTAGGTAAGGCGTCACACCTTCAGCGAGTGGACTCAATCTAGATTTACTATAATAAATTATAGAAATTTTCTGGTCTAATCATGATGCAAGAGGCTAGGGTATGTAACAAATGTCAGTTTGGTGTTTCATTTATAGAATATTTCCGTTTTCCATTTTAGATATTTTTGGGACAAGTAAAGAGAAATGATTGCAAGAGTAGATGTATCCCTTGTGTTACTTGTACTCTGTTTGATGATATGTCCTTCTTCTTCACAGATTTCATCATGTAAGTGCCTTAATTAGTTATCATATATGAGTGTGTATAACTTGTATAGCTTATGATGTGACTAACTCTTCTTCTTTTAATGGATCTAATCTCACTACAACTGACCCTAACTGTCCTACTCTGAATAATTGCTTTGGTAATACTACTAAACTAAATGATGGAGACTTTGGCCCAATGGATTCACTCAATGGTCAATTAGGAAGATTCTTTGCTTTTAATCAGAATAACAGTAGACTCACCTTCACTGTGTTCTCTCCTGTATCAACAGTAGAACTGTATTTCTTTAATTCTCCTGCTGACGGTATTGGACTGCCTCAGTTGAAGGTTAGTAATGCTGGCCCTATTGTTCCTTATTTCTTCTCTAATAATGATGAACTGACACTAACTGACTCTCAACTGAGAACCGTCGCATTACATCTCAATCAAAGTTTACCAGAAGTTCAGATTGATTTCACATTCCCAGTCAACAGTAGAATTGATTGGTTTTTAGTCAGTGAAGTTCAGTCCTTTAATGGTAAGATACTTAATGTGTGGTTGATGTATTATTATATTATTATTAACAGGTAGTCCTGTATCTGCTCCAATGGAAGATATTGTA